CTTGACGTGAGGGTGCAAAAAGACGAAATCATCTTTTTTTTATTTGTCAACTTTATACAATTCTTCGTGTTTATATTTTAAGGCGGAGAAAGCCTATTCCTACAATGTAATTCCATCAACTAGTTGCATCATGTCATTAGCGAATCGAATAAATCACCGAAATTTGATCAATCCAATTGACCTTCATAGTATCATCTATGGAGCATCGATAACTCTATGGTCGGAAAAAATTTCAATTTCACAAAATGATAGCAAATGATTATATCCGAATCAGTGATACCTAAACACCTTTTCGGGAAAACGTGAAGCACACACCATCCTCACACGTGGAGGTTGTTAAATAAATTAAACTTACTTATTCATGATCTATGAAACTACATCTCCTAGTATTTATTTAAACTTTTATTTCCATGCCTCTGGCAAATATTTTGTATATTTCTTTTTATATAAGAAAAGTAAGTTGCTCATAGATGCATTTGTCAATTTATAGAGTTATGTAAGAAACTTTTCCCCAATACCATAACAATATATTGGGAATGTGCTTGTAACAACCTAAACCATCGGTATTCAAAAGGACATCTCATGCGGAGTCAAACTATTTCTTTAAAACGATGTGCCAATTTAAAATTTGGATGACATGAAAAAAACCCTAATAATTAGAAAATGAGACTCCAGCTGATTTTATCCCTCCATAGTAAGATCTTTCTCAGTTGGTGATAACATCTATGGAGTGATCAGCGAGGAAGAAACTCAGAAATGTTTTTTTTTAAATTGTTTCCTGTCTTTCTTGTGGTAAAACAGTCGATGGTTACTCCAAAGATCTACCTAACAGAGTAAGAAACTCGTGTTTAGAGTTCTTGTATGGTCTCTTGGCGTTCATATAGGCTAAGTTTCATTAAGTAGTTAGATCTATCTTCACTTACTTTGTACCTTGTAAATTATTGGAGATTGCACGTATATGCCTTTGATCATGGAGTTTGAATAACTTAATATGGAGTTAGTCATGGTTTAAGATGATAATGAGTTCAATTAACTAATGTTAACCTTGTGATACTTTTGGGCAGGATGTTGAGGGAAAATGAGTGTGTAATCGAGTTCCAAATGGAAAATTGTCAGGAAAGAGTGTTCGAGTGTAAATGATGGTTATTGTTTTCCATATTTATTTATGTGTGCATTCTAACTATCTACATAGTGAAGTTTTTTTAATTTCATGCTAGGGGAATTGTAGGGGCTTAATGTGAAGTGATGATGTATTGACTATCTCATGCGATTAAGGTACTTTGTTAACTCAAGTTTTACAATTGTGCTTGTATTTCATTGTGATTGTGGTTTTGTTTGTGAGATTAATGGTTGTCTTGAGTACCACTCTTGGTACAAAATATTCATATGGTAGGCTCAGGTACCGTGTGTGGTATGTAGTAAAAGTTGTCTCGGGTACCATGCAGGTCAAAAAAACAACTAATGGTTTCCTTGAATATCATGCCTTAAACATTTTTTTATCAACCTATTGTATGTGTGGTTTCACTAGAGAACTAGGTTTACTACTTAGTAATGAGATTGTTACATGTTTGTCCATGAATTTCGTGATTTGTGTTTAAATATTCGGATGCTTCTTGCTTAGACCCGACTTACATGTTAAACACTATAGATGATGTCTTAGAGATTCTTGATTGTATGGGTTACTTGAAACACGTGATGAATCAACTATTTCTTTTTGTAGCATCGTTGATCATGTTATTTGTGAATATTAAGTCTGTTTCGTGACTATGACTTTGGCTTATTTAGAAAGAATGCAATGTACTGTCAGCCTTTGTGGATTGGGACATAATTGATAAGATGTATTGAATTAATGATGTATAGTAATTGTCGTGTAGGAAGTTTACTGAATTGATCAAGGGCCAGCCTGTTTTCATGAGATTTATGCTTAAATATTGGGACAACTCCTATTTAGATCGAAATAAAATATTAAACATTGTAGATGATGTCTTAGAGATCCTTGGTGGTATGGGTTACTTGAAAGATGTGAGGAGTCAGGTGGTTAGAGCTGTGTTATGTCTCTTTCATAGTATTTTAATCAAGTTTGGGAGTTATTTTTTTATTTACGAGAAGGTTATTAGCTTATAATTTTCTTATTTCTACATTGCATATTTTAAATTGAGCGTAAGATTTCTTATGTGTAGTATGAGAATAGATGCTTATACGGCCTGGTGGTTTAGGTCCTAGCAGTGCTCCTATATTTTAAAGTTCTGTAAACTTGTTAGAGGGATTGCTGGTGTTCTTAATTCTTTTTATATATTTTTTCGTAGAAGTTGTACGATGTTAGGAGTGTGTTACTATAATATGATGTTTCCATTTGTTCTCTAGTTGGAAACAAGTTTAATTGAGTGTACGATCAGTTCAGTTTATTGGGTTATAACGTTGTGATATGGATGAGTTTATCAAGTTTATACTTCTTGTGAAGTGTTTAATATGCCCTCAAGAAGAATAGGTTGTATAATTAGTTTCCCTTCATTGAAGAAAGGCAAGAGTGAAGCAGGAAGGAATTTTGAGACGCACAATTACAAAAATAGATTGAAGGTATGCATTATGATGCATTATGTTACTTGGACATTTTGAGTTTTGTCTAGTGAAACGGGAAACTGGGGTGGATTTGATCAAAAATGAAGGGGTGATTTGATTGTACTTTTTTGGTCATTATTTTCTTGTATCTCTCTTCACCAACCCTATAGCCATATATACGAAGTTTTCTCCTCTATTGTTTGAGTTTTGTAAGAATCTAAGAGGGGTTGTAGACGTTGATTATACTTTGTATATATTTTGCCAGAGTTGTTTAGCGGAAATGTTGAAGTGGTAGGTCCATGATGTTAAATGTGTGTTAAAATTGTAGGACGTTTTCCCTTTTAGTCATGAGTTAGTAACAAGGTTATCACATGTTTTAGTATTTAGTGAGCAATCAGCTGAGTTTTTTCAATTATCAAATAGCGAAGTGCGTGAATTTATTATGTTTATGCATCCAGTAATGTGTGCAATATTAAAGAATCAAGAAGCATTCGTCAGACTAATCCACTTTTTCTTCCTTGATGCAAGATGGAGCAAGAAAATGAAAGATGTGAGATTGAGGGCGTGCATCATGTTTTTTTGACTTTGTGGAAAAAATTGGAGTTGTGTCTAAAGAGGTTGAAAAGTCAGTTGGGTTCGGTGAAAAAAGAAAGAGGTGAGTCTATTGTACACTATTGGTCTAGATAACTTTTTAGTATGAAAGAGTTTGAAAGCCTTCCAAAGTTGTATGGACAATAGACTGAAATGCTTTGGTCCTTATAATTAATGATTGTAGGTAGAAATAGTAACTATCTTTCATACCGTAACAACATCCTTTGATTTAATTTCTAAATGTCTATCCTTTTAAATTATAATCAAAGTTTCAAGAAGCATTGCCCATAGAAAAAAAAAATTTCACCAATTTCTCTTGAAGCTAAAGTTTCTTGTATCCTTTCACCTTTAAGAGCTTTAGCTTTGAAAATTCTATTTGGCAATTCTCAAAATTTTCCTTTGCCACAATTTAATAATATTGTTTTGTTTCCATTGCGTCATCACTAAACTGCATAATTTTAATTATTATTGATTACTTCACAAATAATTACCAATAACTATTTTTTTTTGGAAAATACTTAAAAGATTCAAATTAATATACTTACATCGCTAAAGAATCTTTCAATATTGAATAGAACTGTCCCAAAATTGAAGACTCTTTATTGATCTAAGTATATTAATTTTAAACTTTTAAATATTTTTTTATCTATTGCTGATTATTTGTGACATTATTAATAATTAACTAAAATTATGCAATTTGGTGATTATGTAATGGTAGCAGGAAACTATTATTAAAATTATGAAGTTTCGTGATTATGTAATGGATGCAGGAAGCTATTAGAATTTTGTGGCAAAGGAAAAATTTGAGAATTGACAAATGAATTTTTTAAAGCTAAAGACCTTAAAGGTTAAAGGATACAAGAAACTTGAGCTTGAAGAGAAATTGGTGAATTTTTTTTCCTGCGGGAAAAGTTTTTATAGTCTTTGAGTATAGTCAAATAATAGATATGTAGATATTAAATTAAAGGATGTTGTTACAGTTTCAAAGATAGTTACTATTTTTATCTATTATCATTATATGTACAAAAGCTCTGTATTTTAAAGATAGTAGACTAAAATGCTTTCTAACTCCTTTAGAATTATAATACTTGAACCAACAACGTAGAATAGACTCACTTTTTTCTTTGTTTACCAAACCCATTTGTCTTTCCAGTTCCTTTAGACATAACTCTAATTTTCCAGAAATTTAGAAAAGGAATGATGCATTCCTTCAATCTCAAATATTTTATTTCTTGCTTCACCTTGCATCAAGGAAGAGAAACTTGCCGAACTACAAAATGTTTTTTGATGTTGTATTGCACACTTTATCGGATGCATAAACTTGACAAAATCAAGCACATCACTATCTGATAACTATATAAACTCAACAAATTGCACACTCAATTTTAAAACATGTGATAACCTTGTCGCTAACTCAAGCACAAAAGGAAAAAGATGTTTCAATCTTAACACACACTTAGCACCGTAGATATACCACTCCATCATTGCAGCTAAATTACTCTAAGAAAAATATATATAAAGTGTCATCAGCACCCGTAGAAACCTACAAAACATTATTTATTTGGAGATATTCTACTATTTATCTTTTTCATCATTTGGGGTCATTTCGAGAAAATTGATAAACATCTTTGTCAGACGACTAAAATTATCATAAATATATGTGTTGTCATTGCAGTTGCAAAGGTCCTTAATAAGAAAATTCAAGTCATTTATCAGCTTTCATTTGTGATATTTGTGTTGTCATTGTAGTTGCAGAAGGATCTTTGTGTAGCCCCTCTTTGCTTTACCAAGCACATATTTTAGAGTAAAAACTATCAATAGTCACTATTCATATAGCACAATATAGCATATCGATATCTTGGTTGAATTCTTAGCACCGTTCTTACAATTAAAATATAGTTTTGCAAGGGAGAGTTTCTCACACGAATTACACCACCACATATTACAATAACCACAATTGTCTTCCACGAAATGTTGTGCTCTTCATCATCTTTAGATTTAACTAAAAAAAATCCAAAGCTTGCGAATCACCACAAATATATGATTTAGACACACTGTGTACATTGAAGTAGTACTTAGTCTTCACAAACTCAGCCTAGAGAGATGGTTGAACTCTAAACAACGATCAGAAAATAAGATATTTCTAGATAGTCGTTTGTTTAATGGTTATTTTTTTAATATTATGTTGAGTATGTAAACGAATGATAGTCCTACAGATATACATGAAACTCAAAATTTAGTCCCGTGCAGAGGTCATATGAACAGATAAAGCCAATACTGCATTAAAGCTCCTCCGTGCAGAGCTCATATGAATAGATAATACCTACAACTCAAAATTTAGTCTGTTAATAAATGAACAAATCCTCTCTTCCTCACTAGTCACCAACTGCATAGCATGTCTAGACAAGGCATGAAACTTGATCTCATAAGCAGCTACAGACATAACACCTTGCTCCAAAAGCAAAAAGTCATCCTTCATGCGATCTCTCAAAGTCCTAGACACATATATCTCTATGAACATGGCATGAAATTTGGTCAAAGTAAGTGGAGGTAAAACTGAATATTTGCATTCCATATAAACTTTCCACCACTCTTAGCCTCCCATTGAAGCTGAAAAGTAACGAACTCAATCCTATGTTGATGGAAAATTCTTAACTTATGAAGCCTCTCAAATAAATCTAAAGTAAACTCATAAGCATCCTTACTCTCAAACAAAAAAATACATGAGGATTTAGCTTCAAAAACTTAGTCAACATTTTATGGTCATTACTAGTAATAACAGGACCCAATAAAGGATGGAAGAAAACATCATTACCTACATTTCCTCCCAATGATAGCAATAAGAGGATTTTTTGGAGCTTGATTGGCTTGAGCATAAGAAAGCACTCCTAGACCAACCAACCCTTTCAAGAGTGACATTATTAGTTGATTTATGTCTATGGGAGGAATACTTGTATTCCCAACCTACACCTCTGCCTCTTTTTAAACCTCCTCTACGTTTTCAACCACACAATTCTCTTCTATCTCTTTATGATGTATGGGAAAGACCTGATTTTGGGGAGAATTTTCGACTGATACCGCATGTCTAGTAGGTGTTGCTCTTCCTCGGCCCTTACCCTTAGCTCTTCCTCTACCACTACCTCGACTACGACCTCTCATTGCAGATTTCTCAGCTAGAGCATTCACCTGATATATGGTCTTGACGCCGTAAAATCTAATGTTAACCATCTACAAATAGAAGAGCGAAGAAAGTTAGATACCAGTTACAATCGACAAATATCAATTGGAATCATGTTATAGAACGAAGAAGACAAAAGAAAATAAAGTGATTTCCTAAAGTCCCATATCCTCTCGAAAAAAAGTACAAACGTCTCCATACCATTCCTATAGACTCTACAAGAATCATATTTGGACAAAGAGAACAACAAACCTAGGCTTTAAAACCAACTTTTTCACGACCCAGACCATTGTGATTGACACTCACACTAACCCTCCAGTGGGAGAACCATTAATACTGATTACTTAACCATGTCTAATGCAATACTAAAGAATTTAAGTTATGGAAGCAGTTAAATAGCTCAAAATTGAAGTTCTATAAACTTCCAAAAGATCTAAAAACTAAACAAATGGGGAAATGCGCTTAGAACCTAAAAGTCAATGTACCAAAACTCTAACAAAACCCATAAGTCTAAACAAGAAGGGTCACAACCCAAAATAATGCACAAATAACTAATTAGAAAGTCCAAGTCCGCAATGATGGATATAGATGAAAGAGAACTCATTACAGCTCGTATGAACTGGCTCACCCCTGAATTTGATCGGCTATCGCTGATTTTCTAATTGAGGTGTATCATTAATCGCCTTAAGATACTCTATACTCAACAAAGAAAGAGCGGTGAAGTATCTGTACACAACCACAATGTACTGGTAGGATCAAATAATTATTCCACCAAATGCAACGTATATAAGTCAATACAACAAAATAATAACATACATACACCGATCATATACAATATCCTCATTATTTACGAACAACGAAGCATTTTAAAATTCTCAAATACCATAATCATATTAATTCATTGGTCTCTTATGTAACCTTAACTCAAACTAATAGCATACATGACATGATACACAATCAAATATTTAAGCTAGAAAGTGACAATCGATCCTATAATTATGCAGAGACGTGGCGACAAATCAAAGTTAATGTGTGAGAATGCAACACCCGATCCATTCAACAATACACAATCACAATCACAAGTATATTCTTAAAATCATACAATCAATTCATGATTCATGGCTTTCATTATTCATATATCACATTTACAACAAGTATGATCAATTATGCAACATTCACATGGATATGATGTATAATAATGAAGCAAGAACAAACATGCATCACAAAATCATAGAATCACAACCATTACCTAACTCGAACAAAGCTTGAATCCCTTGAGAAACTTGATTGTTTTCTTTCTTGATTCGTTTTGCTTGTTCTTGGTCTACTAACAATCAATATAATACGGAAATCAATAAACAATAATTAATAATCCAAATTATTAAATTTATCAATCCTAGATCATAAACATGATCCGCATGCCCAGATTAGGACTTTCTTCACCATAATTAACTCCAGATCAAAACTCTACCTTTCGATAATTACCCATTAGAATATGTTCAACGGATCAAAAAATGGATCTAGGAGTTAAAATCTTACATTTAGCCTAGAGAATGATGATAATCTATCAAGAAAACCCCTAGGTTCGTTCCTTATCTCTCAAGTTTAAAAATTGCAAAATAAAGCATTATTTGGGGTTTACTTCTGACTTTAAGTCGCGTCTGTCACGCCATGATGACACCCATCCCACTATATTGGCCCCACCTTAGAGGCAGAAATTCCATCTCAAAGGCTTGCACGGAAATATTCATTTTATCCTTGAAATTATTCACAATTAAATATTCATTTTATCCTTGAAAGATCATGCCTATCAAAGTTATAACTGTTGAATTCATAAGTCAAATTAAAGAAACAGTGAAGAGAAGAGTTCAAGAAAGTCCTTGACTTAAATTCTGACTCCTTAGAGATCAACTATCGTTTTAAGATGAGGAAGTAAGTATGGGATGGAGAAGCTTTGTACCCATGAGTTATATATTTTCATTGATATCGTTGAGTCAAGTTGCTCATGTCCATTACTCCGCACAAACTCTGAAAACTGATCATCTTGGAGAGGAGTAGTATCTCTAAGTTATAAGTTCTTGAGTATTGAGTTTCAAACCCTTTTTGCAACTATAGTTATTTCATAATTATTGATTACCATATATCATACATGGAGGTCCTTGAGTTGAGTTGGGATGCCCATAATTTCACTTGGACCCTATTAGTCGAAGAGTTTTAAGTGAATCCAACTATGCTCTTGGTTCAAGAATTAAAGCCATTCGTTCTTCAAATTCATAGAATAATAAACGCAGTAGTCTTTTTCTACAGCTATATATATCAAAAGCAATTTTGAGTTATACTACCTCTTCTTTTCCAAGAATACATCCGCAATCAGTTTGTTTGATTGTAATAAATTTCTAAACCCTTTTTAAATTTTTCCTTCTACAAATTTATCTGACTTACTTTTCTTTTTAGTTAATTCTAAAAAGAATGACATTTCTATGTTAAGTAACAAGTGAACAATAAAATATATATTTTACCTTTAATTAAATAAGTTGTTTTCACACAAATTTCTATAATTTGCTTGGACCACAAGTTTTAAAAATCTTTCTTTCTTTCTTAAACTTCATGTCGAATAAAACTACCTCAAAAAATTTTACTATGTATGGGGCATATATATGACGTGGTAGACAAAACTTGTATCATACTCCACTTATACTATGACAAGTGCATAATTGGGTTCCATTTCAGAAAATAGTCCAAACTATCCTTTCTCTCTCTTCCCATATAAATTTCTTTTCATCTTTCTTACTCTTTACATTAGAATATATTTATTGTATTTTTCTACACAAATCATGATGGGGAGGTTTGCTCACTTGATTTTTCATGCATAGAGGTAGTGGGAGGAAGGGATACAAGGGATAGTAGGGGAGAAATAATAGGAATCTCAGGGAGTGGTGGGGAAAGGGATGTCAAGAAATTTCATTAGTTATACAAAATAAAGTTGTTGAATCCCTTATTGGAGACGCCATATCAGATCTAAAGCTCCAACAACTCGTTCTTCCCCAACATCAAATAGAGTATCAGTTACACCAAATAAAAGTTTAATGATTATGCCGTTGACGTGAGAGTGCAAAAAATAAAATCATCTTTCTTTATTTTTCAACTTTATTCTATTCTTTGTGTGTATGTTTTACCCGTAAAAACCCTAGTCCTTCAAGGTGATTCCATCAACTAGTTGCATCATGTAATCATAGAATCGAATAAATCAGTGAAATTTGATCAATCCAATTGACCTTCAGAGTGTCATCAATGGAGCATTGATTACTCTTGTCAGAAAAAACATAAATTTCCAAAATGATATAATAGTGTTATTTCAAAATCGGTGAGAGTGTGATATCCAAAACTCTGACCCAACAACTTTTTAGGAAAACGTAAAGCAAAGATCATCCCCACACGTGGAGGCTGGTAACTAAATTAAACTCACTTATCCATTATCTATGAAACTGCATATCCTACTATTTATTTATTTATACTTCTATTTCCATGCCTCTTGCGAAGATTTATATGTTTACCTTTATGTTAGAAAACAAGTTGCTCATTGATGCATTTGCCAATTTATAGATTTATGTAAGAAACTTTTTCTCAACCCCATAACAATATATTGGGAGTGTGTTGTGACAACCTAATCCGTCGTTATTCAAAGGACATCTATTGGGGAGTCCCAATTTTTCTTTAAAATAAAATGCCAATTTAAAATTGGGATGACATGAAAAAAAACCTAAGAATTAGAAAATTAGACTCCAGTTGATATTATCCCTTTATAGTAAGAACTTTCTCAGTATGGCAGCGTGATAGCCTCTATGGAGGGATCAGCGAGAAAGAAACTCACAAATTTATTTTTTTCAATTGTTCTCTATCTATCTAGTGGTAAAACAACCAATGGTTACTCCAAAGATCCTCCGAAAAACTGTTCAAAGCTTGAGTATAGGGGAGAGAGAGGATGCTAGTTTAAGGTGGGTCATACCCACAAATTTTTTATCTATGACCTTGAGGATTATTCCCTACGGATCTAGAAACTCATGTTTAGAGTTCTTCTACGGTTTCGTGGCGTCCATATAGGATAGGCTTTGACTGAGCAGTTATATTTATCTTCACTTACTTTGTACCTTGTAAATTATTGGAGTTACATGCATAGGCCTTCGATCATGGAATTTGAATGACTTAATATGGAGTTAGTGATGGTATAAGTTGAAACAAGTTTGATGAACTAATGTTAACCTTGTGATCATTTTGGATGGGATGTTGAGGGAAAATAAGTGGTGTGTAATCGGGTTCCAAGTGGAAAACTGTCTGGAAAGAGTGTCCGAGTGTAAATGATGGTTATTATTTTCCATGTTTATTTATGTATGCATTCTTACTATCTCTAAAGTGAAACTTGTATAATTTCATGTTAGGGGAGTTGTAGGGGCTTAATGCGAAGTGATGAATTATTAACTATCTCATGCGATGAAGGTACTTTGTTTACTGCAGTTTTACAATTGTGTTTGTATTTCATTATGATTGCGGTTTTGTCTGTGAGATAAATGGTTGTCTCAAGTACCACTCTTGGTACAAAATATTCATATTGTAGGCTCGGGTACTATACGTGGTATATAGTAACAGTTGGCTCGGGTACCATATGGGTTAATATAACTAATGGTTGTCTTGGGTAGAACACCTAGTACATTGTTTAGCAACCTTTTGTATGTGTAATTTCATGAGAGAACTAGGTTTACTATTTTGTAAAGAATTTTTACATTTTTGTCCATGAGTGACCATGATTTGTGTTTAAATGCTAGAAGGGTTCTTGTTTATACTGAAATTACATGTTAAACACTATAGATGATGTCTTAGAGATTCTTGATGGTATTGGTTACTTGATAGACGAGATGAATCAACTATTTCTTGTTGTAGCATCGTTGGTCGTGTTGTTTGTGAATCTTAAGTCCGTGTGGTGACTATGACTTCAGCATGTTAACAAAGATTGTACTGTATTGTCAGCCTTTCTGGATTGGGACATAATTGAGAA